AAAAAAAAAAAAAAACAAATAATAAAGAAATTAATGTCATAATATGTATGAGCAAAAGTGATGCATAAGGTTTGAATCCAAAGTCTTGATTTTCATTAAGAACACTCTTACCACTTGAGTAACATACATATTATAATATTAATTTTTTATATTATTTAATTATTAAATAAATTTTAAAAATAAAAAAGATAAAAAAAAATACATATATGCACTTCATTTTATAGCCTAAACTAAAATACTTTTTCAAAAATTATATTTATTTTATAATTAAATTTTATTAATATTTTAAATTCAAATTATTATTAAAAAATTTAAATAATTTAATAGTCTTTCCAGACTTGAAAAAAATTAATAATTCATATCTATTGAAGTTAAGTGGCCTAGTTTGAGACTTAGATATTTTTTTGGAATTGAACTTGAAATGGTTAAGATATGCTTGATGTTAGGCTGACTTGGATTTAAAATAGCACATATACTCTTATTAAATAGTGTCGATCAGATCTGAATCAGACAGTTCGATATTTTTTCACGCTTAAGAACAGAAACGTTATTGGTTGATTCAAGGGTATTGTCATGTAATGTTTCACATATATTATAATTGATGGAGAAAATAAAATTCATAATTTTATATTAAATAATTAAAAAAATATGTGAGACATAAAAATTTATAATTAACCTGGGGCATAGTTACATACTGCTACGACCAACTAATTGTTTTTCCTAAGAACAGGTCTTGAAAGGGTAGAAAGGACATGAAAAAAACCAGAGTGTACCAACTGTTTGTGCAACACAAAAAGAATCTAGTGTATGGGGGAAGATATGCCACAAAAACATGTGGCTGAGAAACTACTTCCCCCGATGACGTGGCACCCACACCACACTCACTCTATACAAATCAAAATCGTAGACCGTGACGATGCCAACGAAGACTCAACTCCCAAAAGGGTTTTAGAGAGAGAAAAAGTTTTAGAGGGAGACAGAGAGAGAGAGACCCAAAAGCCCAGACCCACGGCGGAAACGACGTCCATGGCGTTTCTTTATCGTCACCACTGATTCAGCAACGTTTTATGTTTTTATTGCCTATTTCCTCGGTGATTTTCTTGCGTTTTCTGGGAAAAAGAGAAGGAAAATGAGGGACCCGGCGATCAAGCTTTTTGGGATGGAGATTACGCTGCCGGAGACCGGAAAGATTCTTGTCGGCGAGGATTGTGGGGTTGAAGATGGAAGGTCTGATGGTGATCGTAGTTCGGTGATGAGTTCGTGTTTGGAGGACGAGAAAATGGACAAGAAAGTTAAGAGAACAGGGGACGAAGAGGAAGAGGAAAAAAAAGTAGAAGCTGATGATGACAAGGTTCAATTCCATACAAACATCCATATATATACATATAAATTTAATGAATTATCTGCGACTTTGAGAACCACCCATTTTTCAGATTGCTAAAACAAGTAATGGATCGATTCAAGTACCAACTACACTGTCTATTCAATTTTTTATTTTTATTTTTGAATTGTTTCTTGTGTGTAATGCACTTTTTCTTTTCAAATTACTCTTATTTTACGCTTAAGCCACTCATGTTATGATTCATTTATCAAAATGCTCTGAAGGATCGAACAATTTTCATACCCTTGATTTGAGTTCAATTTGCATCGATTTTTTCAAAGTTTTTTTGAATCCTGAAATTTTAATTGTTCACCTCTGTGGTCACACTACGTGCTAAAGGGGCAGTCTTTTCATTTAATTTTAGTCTGATCCATCCCATCCCCCCACCCAAAATAAGTAGAAAGATCCTTGACTAGGGAGGCTTGAGATTTGAACTTTTAGAGAAGTGTCAAATGCTTGGCTGTGCTAATTTAATTTACTAACTCGCTGATTTCAAATGAAAAAATAAATAAAGAGCTTAGGTTGGTCCATGAGTAGGTAGCTGAAATGTGAATGAATATAACTATGTTTGATTTACGCGTCACACAACTTTTCCTTTCTCCTTTCAAATCACTCCTCAAATCCATGAACCAAACACAGCCCTTATTGTTTATGAAAATTTCCATATTTTGAACTATCCAAAAACTTTAAGGACACTTGTTTCACCACTTGGGTTTGTGGATATTCAGCTGAATGTTATTTACACAAACTGCCAAGGAGTCTGCTGTTATTTTGATCATTTCCCAGGTGGAATTTCTGTTTCTTCCCTATTATTTTACAAATTTCCCCCTTATATAGTTTTTAATCTTTTCAGATTGTTTATCTCTGTATGTATGTGTGTGTGTATGTTTTTTTTTTTCTCTTTGGAAATTGAAAGTATGGTTTTAATCTATTCTATGCATTTCCTTTGATTTTCCCTCTATTTTAACTTAATTACATACAAATTTTGAACATTGTTCCAAGCCAACTGCCCTAGCTGGATTGTGTTTGATAAGCCACCACAAAAAATTATGATAAGTTGTTGTCAATACTGTCCTGAGAAAAGAAAAACTATTTTGTGTAGTTATAAATATCCTTTTCTGTTTTTGTTTTAATCTTGCTTAGGTTCATATCTGACAGATCTATATATATATATATGTTTTTTTCTTTTTCTTGGAATTTGAATTTGATCGACTTTTAACTGTACTTATAGAAAATTATGTTCAAATTGCAGGATTCACAAGCAGGAAAGCCCGATGAGAGTAAACAACGTGGTAAATCTCCACCTTCAGAAACATTGCCCGAGTTTGAGGATAACCCTAAGACACCGTCTCTCGATGAAGAAAATGCAAGTGCAAAACCTCAAAAGAATGAAAATGACCAAAGTGATGCAAACAACACACAACAAAAAACCCTAAAGAAGCCTGACAAAATTCTTCCATGCCCCCGCTGTAATAGCATGGACACAAAGTTCTGTTACTACAACAATTACAATATCAGTCAACCCCGTCATTTTTGCAAGAGCTGTCAGAGATACTGGACAGCTGGTGGTACAATGAGGAACGTGCCCATAGGAGCTGGTCGGCGCAAGAACAAGAACTCATCCGTGCATTGTCGCCACATCACCATCTCTGAAGCTCTACATGCAACTGCAAATGGATTTCAGAACCCTACGCTCAAAAGCAATGGCACGGTTCTCTCTTTTGGCCCAGAAGCACCACTTTGTGAATCCATGGCTTCTGTCTTAAATCTTGCGGAGAAACAAAAGGCTCCTAATGGAATCCCCAATGGGTTTTATAAAGTTGAACAAAATGGCGATGATTGTTCAAGCGGATCATCTGTCACAACTTCAAATTCGACAGAGGAAGGAGTGAGAAACGGGATTCAAGAGCCAATGATGGGGAATTTAAATGGCTTCACTTCCCAAATCCCTTGCCTCCCTGGCATTCCATGGCCTTATTGGAATTCAGCTGCTCCTATACCGGCTGTTTGCTTGTCTGGATATCCAATGCCATTCTATGCCACCCCCTATTGGACAGTTCCATGGTTGCCTTCGCCATCTCCTACAACAAACCAAAACGTGCCATGCTCTGCTCCAAACCAAAATTCACCGACTCTAGGGAAACATTCAAGAGATGGGGACTTGATTAAGAAGAATTCAGAGACATCCATTTTGATTCCAAAAACTATAAGGATTGATGACCCTGATGAAGCTGCAAGGAGTTCTATATGGGCAACACTTGGGATTAAGAACGATTCCTCAATGATGAGCAGAGGAGGCCTTTTCAAGGCCTTCCAACCAAAGGGTGGCGAAAAGAATCACACACCAGAAACCAATTTAGCACTGTGGGCTAACCCTGCAGCCTTGTCTAGGTCGCTCAGCTTCCAGGAACGGTCCTAAAGTAGATGGTGTTACCATTACATCTAATATTTGTTCTCCAAAGTGGCATTTGGGAGAGAAATATTGGGTGTTTGAGATCATATTGATTCACGGCCTTGTTGAAGCATATTTAACACTTTGAACTGATCAGAGTGGAAAGATGTAGAAAAGGTTCCTCAATGATGGTTTTTTTCTTGTAAGATATAGAACAGGTGCCTTCGTTTTTAGGGGGAATTGCAAAAAAGTGGAAACTAACTCAAAATCATTTGACTTTTAAATAGGTATAAGTGAGTTGTGTCTCATGCCACAACTTTCACTTGCAGCGGAGACACACCCTGTACCTCCATGAAAGTTGCAGTTATTTTGAATTGTTTTCACTGATTTGTAATTCCGCTTGTTATTTTGTATTTTTATTTGGTGAGTGTGAGCAGATGTACATATCTATATATGTAAATACTGACATTAGGAGAGAGTGGAAGTTGTTTAGATGCACGAAAATCCCAGAAGTCAAATGTTGAAACTGTTAAACTCAATCCAGAAAGTGGCTTGAATAATGGCAATGCAGTTCTTCTATCTTCAGAGATTTTCATTACATTTCTTGGTTTTTCAGAAGTTAGTATTTCTTAAGATTTTCTACATATGTCTTCATCAAGAATCCAAGATTTGAGCAAGTGCGAAGGCTAAGGCGCAAATGGTGATTCTATCTTTTGAAATGACACTATAAATTGTGTAACAAATGGGATGAAAATGTATGGGTAAAAGTACACTTTTAAGAATTATAAGTGCCAAAATTATGACGCAAATGGTGATAATAAATATTAACAAAACAATTGAAGGGCTTGAAGATTTTATTTATTTATTTTTAATTATATATTTTGTGATGGAGATAATAAATATCAACAAAAGAAGAGAAGTGCTTGAAGATTTTATTTATTTATTGACTAATGATATATTCTCTCTAATTTTAAAGTTCTAATTGAGCTCTAATAATGATGTGGTAGGAAATAAAAATAAATAAAATCAAGGCTAAAACATCACATCATCACAGTGGAATCCACTCCAATTAGAGCTCATTTAGCCTCCGTTTGGAAAGTGAGTTGGTTTTTTGGCTTTTTGGCTATTTTAGCCGGGGGCTAAAAAGCCTGGTTTGGGAAGGGTTTTTTGACTTTTTGACTTTTTTTGTGAGAGAGGAATGTAATGATTATGGGTTGGATTTGATGTTTTGTTTTTTATGGCTAAAATAGCATATTTTATTTTTTGTGACTATTTTAACCCCTAACCCACCAAAACCAACTTCCCAAACTATACCTTATTAGAACTCCCAATCATTTTTCTTATTTATTTTTAATATATATTTTGGGATGATGCCAAGGCAATATGCAACAGTTTTCAAACAGATCTGAAATTAAACAAGAAGAGGGTAGGGTCTAGTTTGGGCATGTGAAGATATAGTGGCAAATCCAACAGGGTTGAATTTCTTTGAGGGGCCCTTTACAGATAAGAAAGTCACAACAGGCCATACAACTTTCCCTTTCATACTACTACTTTAACTACAAAGTGAAAAGTTGACACAAATTTCCCCCCATCTTTTTTTCTCTCTCTCAACAATGCATAAAAATAAAAACATATAATGGATAAATAATAAAATGGCAGGTCTTAATTTTGAGTTTTGTAGGCATATTGTTTTTTAAAAATTTATCTACATAATATTTACTATGCTTAATTTTATTTTATTTAAAATTTGTTTTCCTTGCTGCATTATTGTAATGAAGATTGGATTATAATCTTTATTATAACCATCCTTTAGATAATTATGGTTTTTCTTTGTCAAATCTTTAGATAAAGATGTTTATTTTTTTTGCATGGCTTTGGACGAGAAATATTTTATTTTGTCTTTACTATTGGGGACCTATAAACAATAAGAATTTTTAATTTGTTGGCACTTTGGGTAAAAAGAAGGCTTTTTTTTATTTTTTATTCTTTTTGTTTAAGCCTTTAAATAAAAAATAAAATAAAATTATTTTGCTAGGCTTTTAGACAAGACGGATTTTTTTTATTATTTGGAACCCCTTTTGACAAAGATCAAAGAGGGTTAAAATTTGGTATATTGAAAATTTTGAAAGTCTTGGGTAAATGTCTAAATAGGTTAAACCTGGTGCATACAAATCAAGTATAATAGGATAAAATTATAAAAGCATCTTCATCAAAATAATCAAATTTTTAGTTAAATTTTAACTAAAAGTCCTTTTATTTATTTATTTATTTTAGCTAACTATCTTTTCAAATACATTATCTAACAAACTCCATATTCTTTATTTCATTTGTTGAGTTATTTTTCTCTAATTACATGTAATTAGTAATTTAATATTTAACTAAAGTCGTTAGTTAAGAATTAAGTTTGATAAAATGTATTTTTATGATATGTTATAAAATAACTAAGAAAAAGTTATAATGAATCTGATAATGATGCTCCAAACAGAAAATTGATTGTGTAAAAATGAGAGAGAAGGATAACGTGGTATTTAAAGAGCAAAAATGCTTTGGAACTCTAAATGTGGGGATATATTTTCTGAGTACCAACACGTGGCAAGGTGACGCCGATGTGTCAGCCGAGGTGCCACGTGTCCTGATCGTGACGCCGAGGTGATCTCAGCTAGGCCGAGGTTGCCTCCGAAGATATCGGAATCCGAGATAAGCGGATAAGGGACAAGAGTCCTAGAATGAAGAGGGAACTCAACTTGGATATGGACAAGAGTCCTAGATTGGGAGAAGACTCCAGTTTGGGCAAAGATAAGACTCTTAGAGAGTTTATCCTAATCCCACTGGGAGTCCCAGATTAGCAGTAATCCTAAGTCCATTAGGGCCAGGCTCCTATTGGGACTAGGATTGGATTGGCTATAAAAGAGAGGCACCCCCATGGGTCTAAGGTATGCTTTTAATACTCAAGCTTGTGAGTTTAGTAGTTGATTTATCTTTGAGAGATATACTGACTTGATCGTCGGAGTGCCCCCGGGTGGTCGAAACCACCGCGGGATTCTTATATTTCTGTTGCAGGTCCGTCAGGTGCCATCTATTCTGCCAGTGCTCTCCAGCCGGTTACTAAGCGGGCAGTGTGGTCGGAAAATCACCCACACACTAAATATGGAGTTCTAGGCAGAGTTCTAATGAGCTGGTCTCCCATGATGTGATGGATGTGTCTACCTTTTCTTTCTTTCTTTTTATTTTTTGAATTTTCAATTCATTAGAATTGGTTTAGTGCTCTATTTTTAGAGAGATGTACCATGACTGTTTAAAGAGAGAGTGACGAAACCTATGTTGCATCAAGAAGGGAGGTGCTAGTATTGTCACCATTGTTTCTGTACCTTTAAAATATTTTATTCAAATTTAACGGTTTCAAACTTAGTAATTGCTGCCATCTTAAAAAAAGAAAAACAACCCTTAATTGACACACAATTTTAATTATAATATACACACAAGAGAGATGGTTCTTTTCAATCCTGATCTAAATTGGAGTGGCATTGTCTGGCCCGTAAGACCTACCATGGGCCGTTTCGATGATTTTAGCTATACATTTTTATGGCTCTTTGTGTATAGAATTCACCAAAAAAATAATAATAAAATAAAATAAACTAGGTCAATCCAATTTTGTAACATCTTCATTTTATTGCATTTGTCTTAAAAAATGAATAGTTTATTTTCAAAATGTAATTTCATCCCTGATTGTGTTATCAGTCAAAACAATTTTGGCAAGTAATCTTCCTGCTTTCCTCATGAGAGATTGAAAGACAAAAAAGAGAATTTGAAAGTCTTCAAATAAAGTGTGAAATGTGGGGATAATTGAATCAATTAGACAGATGAATTCCCCAAAATGACAAATAAATGGAATTGATTTCTTCTATTGATAATGTTTTGGGTATTTGGATTGCCCCATGTTGTGGTAAGGCCACCTAAAATTGCCCCACAAACACTTGATGGGGGATACATCAAACATGAGACAAAATGTGTGTACAGCTTTGTTGATCTTGGACAACACAAACAGTTCAGATATTTTTTTTGTTGGTAGCAAATGCAAACCACAAGTTGGGTACAAATTAGTTGTTAGGGGACCCCAAATTCAAAGAAATGCCATAAATGTTTTTGGCAATCTCTTTCTTTTGCTTTCATTCTCTTTTTTTGTTTCCTTTTTTCTTTTTTCCTTTTCTCGAGGCCAATATGCCACTCCTAACTTTCAGTTTTCAGGGTAGGCACAATCAAAAAAGAAAAAAGAAAGGGATTTTTTTTTTTGTGCTCTTTGATTTCATGAAAGGGCAGAGCTTTCCTCCAGTCCAGTAATTAGATTGGAGGTCTAGTTTTGGAGGTTGTGAGTTTTCTTTAGGCTCATCTCAGTGATTCAAATCATTTATTTTTTAATGATCATTTATATAAAAAAATTAAAGTTGCTCATATATTATTTATACAAAGGTGGACAACCAATTTTCAAAAGCGTACTTATTATTCATTTTTAAAAACAAATGTCATCTAATTATGTGATTTTTAATACCCGATTAAACTAAATTTATTTTCAATGACTAGAACATATTTTAGTCGCTGTACAGTTCCTTGGAGGCCCCAATGTCATCTAATCATGTAATTTTTATATCCTAGGATACTAAAAATAAAACAGTTCATATCAATAAATTAAGCCTCAAGTGAACCCACCAAAACTAGACTATGAGAATTGCTAGCCTATAGGGAAGAAAATACCAAACTGTTGAATCATGTGGATCTCCTCTTCCACCATGTATCTTCATTGGGAGACTAGTCCCCTCTTGCAGAGAAAAGTATCGTTTTATATGTTTATGGCACTGTCGAACAATTTTCACTGTATTTAAATTAATTAAATTTTATTGTGTATTAAACAATAATCAGAATAAAAAGAAACAAAGAAAATGAGAGAATTTATTTGATTACAAAAATTAAACTCGAAATAAAAATAATGAATTATAAATAAAAACAGATTTTATTTTGTTACAAAAATAAAATTAAAATCTGATTTAAGTAAATAATAAAACACTGAAAATAAATTAAATAACTTACTTGATTTAATTTCTTCGAATTATAATCTGATCAAGTCCAGTGTTTGACATTGTGTCCTTAAGACAGATTCGTCCTCTCCACGGTGCTTTCAGAAATTGGATGTCTATCTCACAGGATGAAATGATCTACTACAAACAATAGCAGCACTACAAATTGTTTGCCTTACGAACACACTAAGTGTTTACACTCTTTCTTTCAGAAAATAAATGCAGCAAAATGCAGAGATTTATATCAGATGATGGAGTACGAAAATTAGAGTTTAATCCAAATGGGAGGGTAGTCTATTTATAGATGTAAAGGTGGCTATTGGTTTTGAATTGAACATGTATGAAACCTGTTGGTTTTAAATTTAAACAGATTTGAATCTGTTGATTTATATTTCAAACAGATAACAAAACGGGAAGGGCCCTGTTTGGATGTGCAATAATACCAGACTGGTTTATTTCGGGAAGGGCGCTGTTTGGATGTACAGTAAAACCAAACTAGTTTAATTTTGAATTATGGATTTTATTTTACCA